TCCGTTTTTAATGTGGAGGGTCTCGGTTCGAACCCAGGCTGCGCCGCGGCCTCCGGGTGATTATATGACCGTCGTAGTCGCAGGTGTTGCAGGAATGGGTTCGCTACGGCGCGCGCGACACCAACCGCAACGTTGTGGAAGTCAGGTGGCCGCGGCCTCCACACAAGCTTAGCGGTGCCATGTCGCCCTCGTCACCAGGGCAAAAACGGGCATGACAGGCAAAGACCGTAACACAGGGCGTTTAGGGCCACTCTCCCACCGTTATCACAAATATAGCTCAGAATGCTTTTTCCATCACCTAATTGTAGGGTTGTTCAAGACATCGATACCGTATGACGTTCAAAAAATCAGTTCTGTGGGTCAAGTTTAAAGCACCACCACTGTTTGATATGACCCAAACATTCCCACATCCATTAAGTAGCTGTAAAGACTTGATACCTGGCCGCGGTACGCTGAAACCACCCTCGTAAACAACGTGGACTGTTTTCCCAACACTCAGTGAAGTCAGTATCGGTACAGATATCTTGACAGGTAATCTGTAAATGTCAGTTAAATCCTGCTCCAATGAAAATGAGCGGCCGATGTTCCCCGACCAGTTCAGCCAGCTTTCCGACAGGTGAACAGCGAGTCAATAACGCGCTCTCGGAAAACCAGAAGGTCTTCAGACAGCAGCATCCGAGTTTTGAGCATGCAGAGTTTTCTCAGCAAGCCCGGGCGTCTGTGCTCCCTGAGCTGGGCTTTCCCCAGCGAGCTGCTCGGTGTGACGTCACACGGCGGCGCGTACAAGCCGGCGGTGGCGGGCCGGGGCGCCCCGGCGCCGGGCCGTCCCCATCCCGAGCCGGGCGGCGCGCCCGGCCGGCCGGCGCGGGCCGTCGCGGCCAAGGTCTCGGCCGACGGTCGACGCCCCGGCCGGCGCGGCGGGCGGCCCGGGCGGCCGGCCGCGGAGCTGGCGGCGGCGCGGCGTGGCGCCGCCCGCTCCGGCCGCCCAGGCAGCCTGCCCGCCGGCAGGGCTGACGGGAGCGACGCTGAACCGCGCTCCTCATGCGCCGGCTCTGCTTGCAATGCTAGAATCCGATGCGTTTCCATCAGGCGGATTCCACGGCAGGGAGCGTTGGCTCTGCGACGTGTTTTTCAAGGTCTGCCGTGTTTTCCGGGACAGTTGGCCCGCGTCCAAAAGGGTGCAGCCGATCCGACGCGAGCAGCTGCGCTGGGCGAGCCCGCTGCCATCCGTGCATCGAACAAAGACCAATGCACCGCGTCGCTCGGCTGAGCCGGGCGGACGGGGCACCGGCGGCTCCGGCGCGCCGACCTGCGGCGCTCCCGGCGCGGGGCAACGTGAGTGACGCCACCGCCCGGACGGCAGCCCAGTCGACCCCGGAGGACCCGAGTCACGACCGCTCGCGTCGCCCGCAGCGCGACGCGCTCGGAAGCCGGCACCGCAGTCCGAGCACCGCGCAGACTGCGGTGTGAGCCCCGCCGGTCACCGGGTCCGCCGGGCGCCAGGCGCAGGTACCCGACAGAGCGCCGACCGCTTCCGTTCCACACATTTCACTCCGTCTCCGTCTGGCTTACTTTCCCGACCCATTTTTCCGCGTCCGCCCCGCATACGAAGGTCAGCCTCTTCGGCCGGCGCCGTGGCTCGACCGCAGGCCACATTCGGCGAACGTCGCCGGATGGCGCGAAGCGCCGGTGACGCGCCGGCCGGGCCCGTGACGTCACCCGGCTCCGGTCCGGCGGAGGAGGTGAGTCAGGCCGGCCGGTGGCGAGAGAACCCGGCCGCCAGCCCCCGTCGCCGTGGCCAGCCAGCGCCGGGGCCCGCGCAACGGCTGCCGCCGGACGGCACTGCAGCCGGCCGCCGCCGCACGCGGCTGACTGGTGCGCGGCAAGCAAACCCCCGCCAGAACCCGGCGTCAGCGAGCACGGATCAGGCAACATTCGGCGCACTGTTCGTAGAACTGGATTAAGACGGAGCTGTGACGGCGGCTGGCTCTCTGCTGGCGCGGCGGTCACGGTGCAGGGCACGGCTCACGTGGCGGGCACGTGTTCGGTCCGGGCCAGCTTCGCCCGGCCGGCCGCCGCGGCAGGAGCGCGAGCGCGGCCCGGCAGCTGCCGGCGCCGCGGGGGTCCTCCCCGGGTGCGACGGACCAGCGCCGGGGAGGTGACAGAGCGGCCAGCGCGGCGGGCGGCGCCGCTCGCAGTGGCTCCGGCCAGGCCGACCGCCCGCAGCTAGGGAAAAGGGGGTGAGCGGGGACGAGGGCGGCAGCCCATGAGGCCCCGGTCACGTTCAGGTCCCGACAGCACAAGAGCGTGGCTCCCTGCTGCCGGCCGCCGGCCTGAGCCAGACGTGCCGCTGACAACCACCGCACTTAACAGGCCGCACGCATTAGCGCTTCGAGAATGGACGGCTCGAGGCGTGGGTAGCACGCAGCACTACTGTACACCGCTGCTGATACGCACAGCTGGTACACCGCTGCGCATGGGCAAAGCTATACAGCTGATAACACAGCTGTCATCGACGCTTATCGTGGCGTTCGCTCTCGGCACCAGTCTCGAGCGCAGCCTGCCTCTGCACCGCGCCCTCTCCTCTCCCCACACCCGCATAGCGGGCCGATGACGCGGCCATTACGGCCGAGCCGGCCGCCGCCGCCGGGCCCACGTGCGTCACACGCGCCGCCGGCCGTAGTGGGTGGCGCGTGGAGCGGATCGACCGGGCCGGCGGCCGGCCGCCTGACTCACGCACACGTGGCGCGCGCGCGCGCGAGCGCGTTTACAGGTGGCGGCGACGGCAGAGGTCGGCCGCGCAACCTCTCGTCACCGGCCGCGTGACTCAGGCGCCACGCGAGACGGCGCCGTCGACAGGCTGGCTGGGCCGGCCGGGCCGCGGGTGGAGGAGGCGCGGCGCCGCTGTAGCGACCTGCCTCACTGTCCTCCGGCGCCTGTGCTCCCGGCCAGTGAGCGGAGTGCCAGTGGCACGCACGCCGCCCAGCCGTCAGGCAGCTGTGTGTGACTAAGCTGGCGTGCCCAATGCATCCTACCTGTTTCCCAGACATTGTCATCTTCGCGTCCCAAGCGCACGGCGACGCTTTGTTTGCCGCAGCGCTGACATGCGACGGAGCGACGACAGCTGGGGAGCTCGGGCTGCTGCGGCGCGGAGCACTTCGCGCACCGCTCCGCCCGGTCGCGCGGGCCACCAGTCCGTCGGCGAGGCCTGGACGGCTGACGTTGCGCCGCCGCATCTCGTGTCACTCTCATCACCTCTCGCACGTGCCGTCGTCGGCGCAGTGCCGCCGCACGTCAGCAGTGCGGGGCCGACCTAGACCCGGGGCCAGCGACACCGCGCAGCCAGGGGTCGGCCGTAGATACCGACAGACTCGGCAGACCTTAAATCCCCCCCCCCCCCCCTCCACCGCGCTATAAATCCCCCCACTATGTCTACAATTGCACCAGGCTAGAAAAACTACGGACATAAAGGCTGATAGCCGCCTTCGGCCAAAACCCTCCCAGACGCCAGAGGCCTCTCCCGACGGCGACGCATGTGCGCTCGGGATCCACGGCCGCGTAGTAGCTCCACCGTCAAAACACGCGGCCACAAGGTCGCCTGGCGCCGGGCGGCCGGCCGACCACGTGACCGGCCAAACGTCAACACTGCGCCGCCGGGGCCGGAGCGTGACGCCTGGGCCGCCGCTGACCGGCCGGCGCCGCGCATACAACACCGGCGCCGCGTGCTATCGCAGCGCGGCGATACCGGCAGCGGCCGAAGGGCGGCGGGACGCCGGGCCGCGCTTTCCAGCCCCCTCCCCTCCCCCCCCCCCCCACGCTTCCACGTGGGAACGCCGACCAACAGCGGCCCCGCGTCAATTGTGTTGCACCAGCATCGTCGCGTCCGGAGACCCGTGCTCAAAGCGGCTCACTTTTCCCGTCCGGTGCGCGGCGCTCGCGCCGTGACGCAATGTTCGAGTCGGTACGTGGGAGGGCGGCTAGCGGGTCTCTCCACAGGCGGTTGCGTGAGACCGGCTTTTCGCCGTGCCGGCTGAGCCGCCGGCGAGACGTACCGCGACGTCGGCGCGCGAAGAGAAGCGCCGAGCGACGGCCTGATAGGCGTAGGAGCGGAGGCGCATCAGCGGCTACAGCCTTCGCTGTGCTTCACCGTGCATGCTGTGACTGTCGTGAACGCCACGAGAGTGGACTTTCTCCAACTGAGCGTCCATCAACCGGCAACGATGGACGACGTCATCATAGTGGGACATTTAATCGCTGCAGGGGAAGGGCAGCGTTGTCCACCGCGCGGTGATGGGTACGACACCAAGGCGGGCGCGGGCTTCGGCGACTTGACAGTTTGGCGGAAGTGCAGCCACAGCAAAGCAGTACGACATTGTGATCACGGACGAAAAATACGCGATACGCTGAGTTCGTCACAACACGAGGACGCCCTCCGAGCAGACGAGTGCAGGGTGTGCTCTGATCACACTTGGCCGCCATGTGTGTTATGATTACAACGCCGAACTCAGCGCGCACGCACACGGCCACGAGCACTAAACGCAACGCGTATGCGTATATGCGTATGCTTGTATGTACGCATGCGCCCGCTCCGGCCTCGCGGCCGCAGCGGATGCATACGCATAGCGTTTGTATGGCAGAAGGGACACCGCACTGAGAACCACGTTGTTGCTACGACACTTACGCTCACGGTGCTTCGGACCACAAGGGACGTTACGATTGCAATAATGCGGTGAGGAGCATATTACGATAACAGTAACAGTGGCGGTATACCACAACCATGACTTCGTGGTGAAGCAGGTTTGCAATGGTTTCACAGCAAAACTTTGTGGCCTCGATCAACACCGGAGTGGACGACCACAAGAGTTGGGCGCACAGCGTGACTGTCTCAGCCTCTGCGCTCAAGTCTCCCGTGTACCCCGATCCTGCTCGTGACCCGACGAAGGGGGGGGGGGCAGACGGCCGGCCAGCTGCCCAGCCCGGCTGCCGCAGCCACCACGTACCGTGCTCGGAGTATGCGCCAGCCTCTTGCCGCCTTTGGGCGCCGTCTGCGCCGTGGTGACCGTCTTTGTGTCAGCCGCGGCCGACGTGGACGCCGCTGCCGCCGCCACGCTCGGCTTCTGCAGCAGCGCGCCGACATTCGGCACGTGCGCCACCCGCCGCCGCTCTACAAGGGAGTTGGACATGATCAGCGGCTCGCACAGCATGGTTCGTACGTTCACAGTTCGTTCGCCGTTCTCACAATCCGTTCACCGTTCTCACTGTTCGCTCACTGTCCGTCCACTGTTCGCCACTGTCCGTGTCTGCCGGCGCTCCCGCTTCACGTCGCGCTCCTCAAGTCTGTCTGCGTTACACCGCACACGCCTGTCCCATTCGCCGCCGGTCAGCGTGCCTCCTTGTCCCGCGCCCCCTCCTCATCCGCCGTCCTAGCCGTCACTGAATGGCTGGGACTCGCGTACGTGGTGTAGCCGCGCGCGCCGCCGACGGCCGCCGCCAGGGGCGCTGTCGGCGCCACGCGCCGGGCCGACACAAAGACGCCGGCGGGCCACACGAGGCGCATCGGCTCGACCGGAGGCTGACCTTGCGGCGCTGACCCGGCACGACCAAGGAGGTGACACGGGCACCCGGCGTCCCGGCCGGGGACGGAGCGGGCCGAGCCACGCCACGGCAGACGCGGGTCGGCGCTCACGAGACCGACCGGCCCGGAGAGGCCCAGCACCGGACCCAGCACCGGACGTGGGGACCCAGCAGCGGTGGGGACCTTATCTGAGACCACCCGAAGTTATCTTTTCGGGAAAATGCCAGGAGGGCTTCTTCAACATCGGAGCTCGCCGTCAAAGTCGTTTGGCAGACCCCGTCAACAAACAGAGCCGGTTGTTCCAAACACGGCGCAGAGCCCCGGCAGCAGCCCCGCCATCCCACCTGGGTCCGGAGACCCGGCCGCACCAACCGCCGGCCGGTCCTGACGACACGGACCTCTGGGCCAGCGGGCGGCGACCGGCCGGTGCGCCGATCGCTGGTGCGGCACGGTCGGCCCGCCCACACCCTGTCACGGAGCTCGTGCATCCCGCGGGGCCGCCGCGCCTGGCTGGGCTGCGCCCCGGCTGGCCGGCACACCGGCGCGTGGGGCTCGGAGTCCCGCCACAGCCGCGTGCGGTGCGCCGGCTGACCTGAGCCAGTCGAGCCGGACATACTCAACTGATCAAACTCGACATAAACCCATTGTGTGCAGCGAGCATTTGAGCTATTCGATGCCGATGCAGCGCGTTCTGACGACTGGGGACCTTTAGAGCGGTTTTGTGACCCCAGCAGTTTTGACGCATCGGTGCGATGAACCCGGGGCGCTGACACCGAGCAGGTGACTTTCACGCTGGTGCCGGGCGCTCGTGCAGCGCCTGCGTACCATGCACGCATCTAAGACTACCATCCATCGCGCGTTTTTGCACTGTTTTCCCGGCGTCCGCGCCAGCCGGAGTTCGTTAGCATCGCTCCGTTTGGTGAGGCTGCGGTCCGGTCCGCCGACGCTATCTAACGGTCTGCAAAAACCGCACCCGAGCATATGCAGAACCCAACGAGGTCGGGCGCGCGGTGGGTTCGCCGGTTCGGACGACACCTGGCCGCGCAGGCTCACACCACGCACGCGCACACAGCTGCTATCGCTGAGGCCGCGCACTTTTTATGGGTCAATCGGCCGCCTACTGCGCAGTGCCGTCCTCAGAGCCTGTTTGTTTACCCCAGATGGTGGCCGGGTGACGCGGCCCGGGCCGTCCCGCTCCGTGCGCCGGCGCAGTACGGCATCTGCCAGCTGACCTGGGGCCGGCAAGGCCAGGTATCCTGTCAAGTGTCGGCTGATCTGAGGATGGCCAGCCGCCGATTGCCATGATGGCTTGGTACGTGACCGTCTGACGGCTGGTGTTCTGTGACCAGGGTGCATTCGCAGCTAATAAATAGGACGACAGAGAATATATGCCGTCAACATCAGACTCCATGAACTGGGTCTTTTAACGTCCGCAGTGGCCCGGATGACAAACATTTTACATGACGTCTGGTGTTATCTCTGCTGGATGCGCGGTATCTTTTTCCGTTACTTCATGGAAGTGATACAAAAATGACGCAACATGTTAGTTTATAAACAGGTCAGTTAGTGCGCCCACGATCGACGACAGACGAAAAATGATACGTCATAGCTCTCAAACACACGTTGCAGTTTCCATGTTGAGCGCAGGCGGGTACGGTAACGTACGCAGGCGTGTGCATGACAATGCTAGTGTTTCGCATGCGCAGTTATCGTGGCGAAAATCATGAAAACGTTGGCAGAAAACGCGTCACGCTGTGAACACGCTCGGCCAAGAGTCTACGTGACACCTCGTGATGCCATATACATAGTGCGCCGCTAATAGATTCTTAACCTGAAGCCTGCTAGCGGTGAGGTGTCCACGCGGCGGCCGAGCACCCCGTCGTCGACCGGACGGACCAGGCCGGCCAATGTCGGTCGCGCGCTCCTCTCTGTCACGCCGGCTTCCTGGTTCATCACCACTGCACTCTATTGCTACTATCCGACTTCCGGCAGCCGCCGCAGGTATGTCGTGCGTGGGCGTCAGCTACATAACGGCGGTTTGGCACTGTCCTGCCCCGGTCGGCGGTGACCCGTACGCTGCTCAGCCGACACGTGCGGCAGTCCCGTTACCTGCCGCGCACAGCGGCGGTCCGACCCGGTCCGACCTCCGCCGGCACCCCCCGGCCGGCCCCAGCTGACCTGCCGTTACCAGCCGCGCACAGCGGCGGTCCGACCCGGGCCGACCTCTGCCGGCATCCTCCCCTCCCCTCCCCGGCCGACCGCAGCTGACCTGCCGTCAGTCTGCAGTACTTCACAGCCCGCATGACCTGGCGCCAGCTGGCGGGATCGGAGCCTCATCCAGCTGCGCCTGAACAGCTACCCACTGTAGCCGTCCTGATCCCTGTCACCTCGGCGCCGACGGAGGACACAGCGGGCTCGACTGTTGCCATCCTGAGCCCTGTCACCGTCTCGGCGCCGACGACGGGGGACACGGCGGGCTAGACTGTTGCCATCCTGAGCCCTGTCACCTCGGCGCCGACGGAGGACACGGCGGGCTCGACTGTTGCCGTCTTGAGCCCTGTCACCGTCTCGGCGCCGACGGAGGACACGGCGGGCTCGACTGTTGCCGTCTTGAGCCCTGTCACCGTCTCGGCGCGGACGGAGGACACGGCGGGCTAGACTGTTGCCGCCCTGAGCCCTGTCACTGTCTCGGCGCGGACGGAGGACACGGCGGGCTCGACTGTTGCCGTCCTGAGCCCTGTCACCGTCTCGGCGCCGACGGAGGACACGGCGGGCTCGACTGTTGCCGTCCTGAGCCCTGTCATCGTCTCGGCGCCGACGGAGGACACGGCGGGCTCGACTGTTGCCGTCCTGGGCCCCGTCACCTCGGCGCCGACGGAGGAGACGGCGGGCTCGACTGTTGCCGTCCTGAGCCCTGTTACCGTCTCGGCGCCGACGGAGGACACAGCGGGCTCGACTGTTGCCGTCCTGAACCCTGTCACCGTCTCGGCGCCGACGGAGGACACGGCGGGCTCGACTGTTGCCGTCCTGAGCCCTGTCACCTCGGCGCCGACGACGGAGGACGCGGCGGGCTCAACTCCTGAGCCGTCTCCAACTCCAACCGTCTCCAACTCCAACTCCAACCGTCCTGAGTCCTGTCACCGTCTCGGCGCGGACGGAGGACATGGCGGCTAGACTGTTGCCGTCCTGAGCCCTGTCACCTCGGCGCCGACGGAGGACACGGACTTGCGCAGCCATACCAGTCGGCTTCTCAGGTTCCAGCTCTGTACCCCGAGCCCGCGCAGACGTCGGGCCGCGCTTACGCCAGCCGGAGCTCCCCACCAGCTCCGAATGACGTCACGATCAGACCGGGCCGTGGCGGCACGCGAGTGTTTCGTTGCCAAGTCACGTCAATCAGCTCCAGGAATTTGCGAACCGTCAGAACGATACAGAAAAAACTCGTCCGGGCCATGCTGCATGTTCCGGCGTTCGCTTGACGTCGGTGTGGCGGCATCATCGCCACGCCGTGGTGGGCAGCGCATGTGAGCATGCCCAGGGCTACGTAAATACTGCGCAAAAGGCATGGTCGAGATGACCCCATGCCGAGCGACGAATCCGACGCGCTGGAGTCAGACCACTCGGACGTGCTCGCCTACGGCACAAATGGACTGACCAAGCGTGAACTGGAATCGCCGGCCGCTGTAGCCGTTGGCGATTCAACGCGCGGTACTCCACCTAGCGCGCGGGGTGAAGCGAGTTTGTCTTCACGGACCTGATCACTCTGGAAGCACACTTGTCCTGAAACTGCGTGGCGCAAAAATACAAGATATAGCTGGCGGACTATCGGGATCAACACATTTGTCACTTCATTCCCATTCTATGTTTGCATGTGCCACCAGAAACGGCGAACCAACAGGTGGCCGAATACATTTCAAGCATGGCCCACATGTTATGATTGTGGGTAACACCTGAAATGGAATTGACTACGGTGGTGGTAAAAAAACACTCATTTGAAGCGTTCTCGGTAGTGCAGCGGATGCTACCGACAAAAATGAACTATGGCTAGATGAAAAACTATGTCTATGTCTGGGAAAACAAATGCAAGCGTCTCCCATGCATAGAGATGTGCCGCCGAAGCAGCGAGCGGCGATCTCCAGCGGAAATACCCGGAGCGCAAGCACACTCCAAACGTTTTGCTGTGCTATACGAGTACGTAAATCAAGTATCCCCCATGTAACCACTCCCATTAACACAAATGTATTATCAACTGGGTAGCATTCTACTTGGGAGGGGCTTGTGCGCGAAGAATAGTCACCGCGCTTATCGGTATACACTGATGGTGAATTTTCGTCGGAGGATATTGTGCACATGTACTATATGAGTTTATACTCGAAGCCATGCTTTTGTTAATAAGCCCCCCCCCCCCCCCTCCCTTCCCCCAGTGAGAACTACACGCTAACACGTACCAGGAGACAAAGTAACATCAAAAGCACGTGGCACGATAGAAAGCGTCAGCGCATTACAGACTTGTGATATCATCTGGTACCTTATCCAGGATATGCCCGTTACATAAGGTAAGAGCACTGTTCCGTTTGTTCCGTTGCAGTTACACCAGGTTGCCAAGAGGGCCACGGAGAAGCCCGCGGTCAGCCAGCGTGGCCGGCACTCTGCAGACGGCACTTTATACAGTACCGGTGTCGGCCGGCCGTGCACCTCAGGCCCCAACGACCTCAGGGCGCAGCGCATCACCCCAGCGACCGCAGGACGCAGTGCATCACCCCAGCGACCGCAGGACGCAGTGCATCACCCCAGCGACCGCAGGGCGCAGCGCATCACCCTAGCGACCTCAGGACGCAGTGCATCACCCCAGCGA